CTTTACGAAACACAGAGCAAAGTACAGTAACTAAAAGAACTTCCGAGGAACGGTCACTTCAAAAGCCGGTTAATAGAGCGCATTAGCGCACTCATTGACCTGAAACTGGCAGCTTTCGGTCGTCAAACAGGTGAACGCGAACAGAAATAGTCGATGCAACATGCTCCGTCGGGCTCCAGTACGCCACTACACTAGTACGCCGAGATTTGGAAAGGCAAAGAGGACTCAGCGCCATCAATTATCGACCTCCACTCCTGAGAACGTGACGGAGAGTGGTGCACTCCCCCACATATATGGGCAGTCGTGGCGAGTCATAAAAGTGTAAAAGCGGCGACCATCCAAAAAAATGCGGCGTCAAAAGGAACTGTCAACAAAAAAAACACGGGGAAAAGGAGGATAAAAAGGCACCCGGCGAACGTGGTTAAGCCAGGACAGGTGTCTAGTTCAGCAGCAATAACAGTTACTGTGCCAGATCACAGTGAGAAATCGTATGCTGCAGTTATGGCCGCAGCCAAACAAAAAATAAATCTTAAAATTTGTAGAAAAATTACGAAAAGTTTGATGAAAGAAGACGGGAATCGAACCCACGTCTTCGGCATACGCGGCCTCACGCTATAGCCACTGAGCTAAACGTCTGATTGCCACACCGACGAAAATCTTAACGTCTTTTATCTACATAGTTTTTTTTATCATTTGAAGCAATGCTTGGCGCATCCATTGTTATATACTTTCCAGCATACAAACAATTTCGAATATTGTTTTACAACGATAATTAGAACGAGAGATGTCACCATTGCTTCCAAGAAATTAAAATTTTTATAGTGCTAATCTCTGCACTTAAGATTGAACATTAAAATTGGTAGAAAAAGTACGAAAAGATTGTCGCCGCTGTGGGAACCGAACCCACGTCTTCGGCATTCGCGGCCTGACGCTGTAGCCACTGAGCTAAACGGCTGATTGCCACATCGACGAAAATCTTAACATCTTTTATCTACATTATAAAAAGCAAAGGTTCGTGAGATTCACCGCTAACCATCGCACATCGCTCACCGTCGAGGTTCAGTTTGGGTGAGATGCCGGCTCACAGTGGTGCGTAAGCTGACGACGGCGAAATGCGTTCGAGTTGGATGGACGGCTGCTAGGGTACAGGTGTTATCAGTGTGGTCACTGCAATACTACAGATGTCTTCAGTTAGGCTTAGGACATGAATTTAGCAGGTGCCCTAGTGATCAAGACCGTAGCACGCGCTGCTATGCCTGCAGTGAGCCTGGTTACGAGGCGAGTCATTGCACGTCGGGCATTCTTAAGTGTCCATTATGCGTAGATCTTGGTCGTCCAACTGACCATCGGCTGGGAACCAAGGCATACGCACCTAAAGAGACGGAAAAACGGAGGGGGAGATAGCAGGCTCCTCCACCTGAGGCTACTTGTGCCCCGGAGGCTATGGAGGCTTCAACTACAAACCTAACGTGAAGCTTCTCCAAACCAACCTGAATCAGTGCCGTTCGGCGCAGAACCTACTACTGCAAATCCTCACGGAGTGATCGGTTGCATTGGCTGTTGTTGCGGAGCCATACCGAATTCCGGACCATCCTCGATGGTTCGGGGACGATGGGGGCTCTGTCGCGATATATTGGTGGAGCCGATCTCCCTTCCTGTTCCTAATTACCAGGGGTCAGGGTTTCGTTGCCGTCAAATGGGGTATCCTAATGGTAGTGGAATGCTATCTCCCCAGGGTGTCCCGGGTAGGCGCTTGCCTTAATATGTATTTGCGGCGTTCTGCTCTTATTCTAGGAGACTTCAACGCTCATTCCAGAGATTGGGAGTCCAACCGAAATAATGCAAGGGGGTAGACCTTACAGGAATGGTCGGCGAGGCTTAACCTCCGACTTTTGAATCGGGGATCCGTTAGTACATGTGTACGATAGTAGGGAGAGACAACTGTAGACCTATCACGGGCATCCCCTTCTGCTACACGCTTGGTTTCAGGATGAAGGGTAGCGGGAGGAAGTGGTCACGCTTTCAGACCATCGTCACATCATATTCGATGTGGCGCTTCGTCCTCCCGTAAATAGCCGCCGGCACGACGGTAGCGGGCTTCGTCAACGGTGTTCCCTCAAGCATCTTAATACAGATCTCCTAGAAGCTGCAGCCACTGTCGCTGCCTGGCAGGAGGCCCAAGCTAGTCATGTTTTACCTGATCCTGAAGTGGAGGCAGCTTGATTCCGGGCTACGATGATATCAATTTGCATGTATCGATGCCCCGGGCCAGGTCTTCTCATCCGAAGGCAGTTTACTGGTGGAAGACATTGCACGGCTGCGCGACGATTGTTTTCGAGCTCGACGACTATACACCAGAACTAAAAAAAGAAGGCGAGCTACTGCCGACGATAAAGCAAGAGCTTATGAAGAGTATAGAGGCGCTACGAAAGCACTCCAACAAGCAATTGAAGATGCTAAGTCAAGGTCCTGGATCGAACTCCTCAAGGATCTAGACAGAGACCCATGGGGGTGCTCAAAGATAGTATTGGGTAAACTCCGACCATGGGTCCCCCCACTAACGGAGACCACGAATTCCACCTTCGTTGAAACGGTAGTAAATACTCCCTTTCCTGTGATCTAGGAAAGACCCGTTCGTTTTTTATCGACTGGCCAAATGAATTTGAGGTAACTGAAGAGGAGATGTACCGAGCCATTAGGCGCCTGAGAAGCCGAAATACTGCACCTGGCCCTGATGGAATTAATGGTCGGGTTTGGATGTTAGCTCTCGCCGCCGCATTTTACGAAATACACAACAAAATTGTTTACGACGCTAACCAAAAGTAGGTACGTTACTATTAAATATACTTTTTCAAGGCCAAAATAGTACAACTTAAAATTGGTTTAAAAACATTCTACCTAATTTTACTTGAAGTTCGAAAATTGAAGATACGTATACGAATCCAATAAAAATAACAATGAATCAAGGACGCACATTGAGCAGCGGAGGCATAAGTAGGAAAATGCACACCAACGGTGGCAAAAGGAGATGGGGAGACTGGGCGGTTTATTGATCCTTCTCCGTCGCGCCACGCTGTGACCGAACATGACCTCCTGTAATACCCTTGTACGCTACCTGCCCCCTAATAATCCTTGTTTATCATCTCATCCGATAAAACAACATCGAGGCTTAAAATTGATTTTATTACCATATTGGAAAATCTATCGCAATCATGTGTAATAATACACAATAACGTATACCACGTTTATCATCTTTTAAGATTTTTTATTTTGGTACACATGTTTGTATGCATTTTTTTCATGGCAAAGTTGGCAAACATTCATGTAAATAAAAAATACAACTTACCATTTATTTAATCACATGTATATAAGCTTCCACTCTGAGATATTCCATAGCGGTATAAGCTAAGAAGCATATCAAATGTAAAAAAATCAAACACCATGCATATAAAAAATCGAACATCGTTATTTTCGACAATAATTTAATTTGATCCGACAATCAGAAATTATTAAACGTAAAAACGCCCGACTGCAATAATTAAAACGATAACTATTCCTCTATTTTATATGGCGGACATTGAACTAAAATTTCCTGCCACATGCACAACTGAAACGATTCTAATGACCACTTAATATGTTGAAATCTGTAAAAAGGTTGTGCTTGGGCTGTAGAGCGTGCCCAAGAATTAGATATACTTACATACATACATATATAGGTACCCTCAAAAGACACTACCATCCTTCGGTAATCGGGTAATTAAAATAGCTTCAAATCCTCCATTTTCATAGCACTATAATAAATATGAATAGTAATTGGATATGATATTAGAATGCTTAGTAATTGGGAAAAAAAGGAATATGGACTGCATGTCACATAAAGCAAGGATATCAAATTCCGCATCTACATTAGTATTAATATACAGTATTATATACATATAATACAGTAGGTATCAACTGCTTAAACCGCATGACAGTTTTGTAAATATTATTCATTCTTATCCCCATTCTCATATCAGTTCACTTTTTAAAATTCATATAATTACACAACACAATAATCGTCGGCTTTCGTTTCCAGTCCGAAAAAATATAAACAATAATTAATACTATATTTTAATAAAAAAATTGTTTTCATCACAAACATTTCAACGGTATCCAAAAACAAATTTACTTGTTGTACGAATACATTCTAAAACAAGATATTCGTAATATGTTATAGTACCAGACTAGAAAAAATAACTCTTGTCCATTCTGAATATAGTAACGTAACATGGTATTAGAAGTAGTAGATAATTCATTGTTTTAATATTACCAATAGCAATTAAAATGCTTATGTTTTTCCCAATATTATCTAAACGTTTTTCACAGAAAACTCATTAGTCACGAATTTTTCAACTTCATAAAAATTGAATTTAATAAATATTCATTTGTGAAATATTATGTTTGTGAAATAATAACATTACTTTTATTAAAATTAAATTCGTCAATGGAAAGAAAGAGAAACCTGTTTAAACATTAGACCAATAGCGCCAGGGAGAATATATACGAAGCGGGAGCTGGCCTGTGACCAATGAGCATCTTATTCATATTCCCTAGTTCGCTCGGAGAAGAAGGTCGTTTCCCGTAACCACGAGCGCCTATTACTCCTAAACTTTTTGTTTCTGTATCTACATTTTATTTCAGTGAATAAAAATAAAATTTGTCATAAAAATAATAATTAGTGTAAAATGTTTATTTTCATTTGTGGCAATATATATTTCCGTGTCATTTAATTAAAATTGTCTTTTTCATTTTCATTCTGCCTGTCATTAATAAATCTGCGGGTAATTTTGCTATTCATTCACTATTCTTCAGTCAATTCAGCAGTTATTCTGATCCGAGACGAAAGTAAAATAAATGCGCAAAATAAAATGAACGTAGTTGGCTTTGTACACGTATACAGTGAAGTGTAATAAATTAAAAGTGTTTTGTAGGAAGCTCTTGATCGAGTTTATAATTATATAATGGAGAACGACTTAAGCAAGCCGTATAAAATCTGTGATGTTAATCGAGACAAAAAGAAGGGTATAGTTGCTACGTCTTTAGAAGATTTACTAACGAAAGTGCCGGAAAAATTGGGGTTACCTAGTGAAAATTTAACAGTTGTTCTGGAATGTGATGGCACAGAAGTCGATGATGAAGAGTATTTCTCTACCCTCGACCCTGACACAGCTCTTATGATTTTGCATGGCAACGAAAAATGGGCACCTAATATGCCTAAATGTCAGGTTTCACTAGATCAAACAGATGATGTTGCACTTGGTGATAAAGGTCAAGTAGCAAATCTGGTTGGAAGGCTCCAACACAATCTTTGCCACATCTCACTACTTGGAGGTCAAGATCTGGAACTTCTCTCTGATATGGATCCCGATAGCCTTGCGGACATTGTTACAGACAGAGACAACCGAATCATTTTAGAACACATAAAAGAAGCCTCTGGGAGGTAAACATTTTTTTAATATTTTGTTAAACATATGCAAATATTTAAAAAGCAACATATTAAAAAGTAATTGAAAGAAAATAGAATACATAGTAAATAAGAGAATATGTTCAAATGTCTATTCAAAACAACTGATGTAGTATACATTGGTTTCATGTGCACAATAATTAAAACAATTGTTTTCCTCATAGGATCTTATTAGAAAAACGCCAAGCCCAAGATGCCATGGAGTTATTAAAACTGTACCACCAGAGTGTAGCAAATGGAAATGAAGATGTCTCACCACCAAGCCAAGAGAGAATTTAATTAAGTTATAAAATAATGATTGCAAAATAATCCTAGTAACCTGATCCTCAACATTCATTTTTAAGGGATGGTAAATCTCAAAAGTTTACAAAATCATTTAATTTTAGGAATACCATGCTTGCAAATATTTTTTTACAAATCAACTGCAAATGAGAGTTTGTTGTATTGATGCTCAACTATACTTTTTAGATGGATACATGAATACTTATTATAGTAATATATAAATAAACAGTACATGGTAAGAATGCAACACAAACCATTTTAATACACCAATAATATGAGGCCTTCTTTTTTCATAATATACTTGTGAAGAACAATGTATTACAAGAAAAAGAAATTTAAACTACCTATTAAATTAAAAACATGAATTGAAATCTTAGGTTATAGATATTATTAAGAAGCTAATCTTATGAATATGAGCTAAAATCGAATGATTACCTTATTACCTTAACTATGATATTCTAAACAATATATATGTAGATTTAAATAGAGTTATTTGATGTATGAATTTTTATCATCAAATTTCTAATATTAATGCAACACAGAACACACTCAAATATTACATTCTTAATGTGAATTTTTAAAAATGCTATATGAATAAGTTGCACATGAGTATTAAGATTGTAATTGTATTAAAATCAAATTAAAATATGCCTCTAATTTCACTTAGTTGTTAGGTTAGTTGTTTCGCTCAACGCAGGTTCAAATATCCAAGAAATTATAAATTTGTGCCTAATAATTGTTTGCATGTTAAAAGCATTATGTGTTGCACCATTTTTTTTGTTTGGTTGCCTAACATTCCAGTTATCATTTAATATCTTCAACTAGTTTTAACACCATTACAATGCTGCATGTTCTGTATTACTAATTTTTGATGTATCTAACACTAAAGTCCTAACAATAAGTAGACTTCAGGAATCAATACCACCGTTCTTTGAGTGCTGTAATTCATTTTTCATAACAACTAGTTATCATTATAGAATATTTTACATTGTGAAACTAAGGTTGAATTGTAAACATCAAATTGTTCTTGTAAAGACTTTGTCATACTAAAACCCCAGCAATAGTATAGGATAATTTGCTATTGTGTGATTATTTTTACTTAATATGTCTTTAAATTGCATTATTTATTTATCAGTTGATGTCATCATATGATGTATGCATAATATAATAATTATGTTATATATTTATACATATTGCTTCAATCCCACTGCAATCATGAAGATTAAATGTTAAGAAACTGTCCTATGTTTATTTTGCAATGTACTGTATATATAAGTATTTGTAATATGTACATAATTTAAAAAAAAAAGAATTTTAATGATAATATTATATTCTTAAATAAGTTGTCATTATCTTATACAAATATTTTATTTGAAGAACATGAGATGTTTTGTGTATTAGGTAAATCCATTTAGGTTTACATAATAGATTCATTCTATAATAATTGTCATACCTTTGTTATAATTAGAACATTAAAAAAATTATGTAATTACTTAGTAACTCTTATGGTAAATATTCTGACAATAGATGCTAGTACATAAGTGTGCTGTACCTTTTATATGGCATTATTTCTATCCTTTAGGTTTCCTCTTTTTGTAAACTTTTGAGAAACAAATTTGCTACAAGGTTGATAATCAACATCAATTTAAAAGACTGATAGTTGGTAAATTTATTTTTTTTATATAGTTTTACCCCTAGACTAAGGTTTATTCATTTAATTCCAAATTTGCTCAAGAAATTTACAAGTTATATATAAGTTTAATTCTTTTCCACTCAACTGCCACAAAACAATGTCTTGTTGAATAGAAAGATATAAGTGGACTCTAGGAATTGCGAGATGAAAATTAGGGTAAATTACATGATTTTATTTAAGTATTATGAAAATTATTTGTGATATTTTTAGCTTACAATATAAAAAATAATAGGGCACATAGCTTGTTACTTGCTAATTTTATTTCATATGAATGCTTCTTATGTAAGTCACATTTCTCAAGTTCAATCACATTGTTGTCTATAAAGTATAAAGTAAAAAATTTGAAACGAAAATTAAATGTAGAAGCTAAAAATATCCAATGTTTCACCTTCTTTCTTTATCAAACAACTTATGACATTAAAGAATCTAATTTGAAACCACTTTTTAAAACATCACAAGCATTAAGTATTCATTAAATTGAATTTTTAATAACATTTTTAATTTAACATGAATTCTGCTTATGTACAAATGTAGCTTTCCCACTTTAGTGTACATGTTTTCACTAATTAATAACTGTTATATAATAACATTGTACCATTTCTGTTTTTGAATTGATAAATATTTGTTTCTGTGCACCAATAAACTCACATTAATAAATGAGTTTTTCTTTCAAAAACCCCAAAAGAAATATCAAATAAAAGATTTTATTATATGATGTGTTTAATCAAGCAGTAGAGGAAAATAATACAGCAGATAAAATAATATAGAACTGACAATATTAAGGCTTATGTCCAAAGGTGAGACAAACATGAATTTTCATTTTCGAAACAGTTATAAAATAAAAAATCTGTTGGTCAATGTTAAACTTAAGATGAAAGTTACAAGCAAAAACCTTTTAAATATAAGGCAAATGCACAATATCTAACACCAAATTAAATTTTTGCCATTTTAAAGAACAGTGCAAGAACTTTTTTCACGAAAAGGATTTACTTTTTGGCTTGAAAACCCAACCAGCAAGCAATCCTCTTGCTCGTGATCATTAATATATCGAACAATATCTGCCACAGCAACGGACACTGGAATACGTTTGATGGCAGCTTCCCGTCTAAGCTGTTCGGTAACAGCTCGCTGCTGCTGCAATGTAGATACCATCATATCCATAACGGCGGTATCTGATAGGCCTATGTTGAAAGCGAAAAATAAACACAAGGGATTGTATCAGAATGGGCGTTGCCTCGAACAATGGATTTCACCTGAAATTAGTTCGAACAATGAGTATTGTTAATTTTAAAATTTTATTACAGTAACAAAAAAGAAACGGAGTTTCTTTAAAAAAATTAAAACACACATACCAATTTAAGAAAATAAAAAATTACAATTTTCTCAAATTGACAGTACACTGCAGTACAGATAAGTAATAAGTTAATATAGCGATGGGCACGTCGACTTGCGTAAGTCGACTGAGTCGACGTGATGCTTGAAGTCGTCGAATCGATCTGACTTTTTAATAAGTCGAACTGAGTCGGTTCAAATTTGAGTCGCCTCGCGATTCGGGCTCGCGTTACGATCTCAAGTCGGCATCGCGGCAATTCGCTATTACAAAGGATTCGAAGTCAACTCCGAGCCGAGCGAGCTAGCGAGATACTTAATGAACGAGTCAGAGTAAAGAAAGAAACAATGATTTGAAGTCGACTCCAAGTCGAGTAAGCAAGCGAGATGCCTAATGAAGGAATCAGAGTGAGAAAGAAGCATAGCGATTCGCGCCATTCAATCTCGCGTCTAAATCGGTGTTGACAGACGGAAATTTGAAATTGCCGCAAGTTGCTTGTCGCTGATTATTTTGTTTGCTTTTTTAAAATAATAGCGAATAATATGCTTTTATGTAATAGGCTTTTATAATATAAAAAGTGATTATTTATAAATATTATATTATACATATATTTATTATCGTTCGATATGCTTTTTTTGGTAGAAAGAAGATATCCCAAGGGTGGTACCATAATAAGGAAACCCGGATCTGATATGGCATCTCACAAAAATCGAGGGTAATCCTCGAATATTATAGGTATTAACAATATTTTTTTTTTTTTTTTTTATTTTACTTTAGGTTTTCGTTTTTTTGTTAAAAATTATACTTGTTAGACGCCAAGACGACTCAAATCGATTTGCAAGTCGATTTCATGATCATTTTAAGTCGATTTGATCGACTTGGAAAAAAAGCAAATCACCCATCGCTAAGTTAATTCACTAGTCAGTGAATCAGATCAGTGTTACCAACTCTCGAAAATTTTGCCGCTAAAACTCAAGTCAAAAACCCCTAAAACCCCCCAAAAACCCCCTAAAAGCATAATATTAAAAAATTATAAATAATAAACAGCGCCAAGATATTTGCCTTAATTTCCTAATGAATGGTATAAATACCTACAGTAAAAATATTGGAGCAAAAATATTTTTATTACAAAAAGTGATTTAGCAAAAGTGTAGGAAATTTTTATGTATAATTATGGCCCATTTACACGATGCCAGTTTCTTGACTGTTGTATACAATTAAATTGAAGCAATAAATGACTTGCATGGTCTAAACAACAAATGGTCTAAACAATTATTGCGCGCAACTTATTGCATTCAATTATTGCTCTTGTATGCACAAGAAAATGGCATCGTGTAAATGGGCCCTTAATATAATTATTAATGGTAAATAATAAATAACATTTTGTAGTATTTTTTTATTATTATAGTTAATCAGGTTCTGATTTTTTGAAATCATACATACTAATATTGAACATTTTGGCGGATGGATTAAAATTTACTTTGGTTGACTTTGGTTACTAGATGGATTAAACTTTAATTTATACAAGATGCACCATTTCGTTGCAGTGTAAATCGAACCGTCATCATATTTTTTAACATTTCAATTGATAATCTATTTCGCAATTTACTTTTGACATAAATTGAAAATGCACATTCGACACTTGCGTTTGAAATTGGAACCGTGACTAATGCCAGTCCGAATTTCAAAATGTTTTCTAAACCTTTACAGCCAGCTGCATCAAAATCACTATAAATTTCAAAATAAAAATCAGCAGCAGAAGAAGTATTTGTCCATTTTACATAACTGGTGCCACTTAGACTCGATGTTTCCATAAATTACATTTATTTTGTTTGATAAGTAAGCCAAGGCAAAGTGGAAATTTGTCGATCATTGATTATTCTCTATCTTATTGTAATAACTTTTGCTTTGTTCAATACCACATTCTTAGTAATGAAAAACCGTACTAGACGTCGCTAAGCTGCTAGGTCA